GTTGTGGGGGGAGGTATCTGGTGCTCTCTTGTAATTTTATTTAATCGACAAGAGGGATGTTTTCCTGGTGGGCTGAATGAATTCGAGCTGCTTTTTAGACTAGACTCAACAAAAAGCACATGCAAAACATCACATGGTAAAAAAAAATTAAAAAGAAACCCTGTATTGCCCAATAACGGCGTTATTGGGCAATAGAGGGTTTCCTTAGGCAGCCATAGTTCCATCCCGTGTTGCTGCCCGCACCCCTGCCCTGGTGTTAGCTCTCCTTTTCCCCTACAGCCTGTCCAAAACTTGTTATGCTTTTGTGTTGCTCGCTTTCCCCCCCACTTCGTATTCTGCTGATTTGGTTCCCTAAACAGTCCCATCGTGCAGGCTGCTGTGGGTGGTTGCACGAGGAGCATGGTAAAGCTGTGTGGGCGTGCTTTGAGCTGCTTTGAGGCCCAACTAAACCTGTTGTGAACCTCCTAACTACCTGCCTTTTTTAATGCTTTTCTAAAAAGATGCTATTGTTTGTCATTTTATGCAGACGTGCTTTAGTACTTACCAGTCATGAGAAAATTAGCAGGTTGCTGCCTTCCTCGTGCTCCTTTCCAGTACATCCCATTAGGAACCGAGTTTCAAGTAGCGTGCGTTACAGCCGATGCGATGATCTTGTTGCTTAGATAAGTTTTCTGGTGTAATGTGGCCAACACCACCTCAAGTCAGGGTTTTGGTTTTTCTGTTTCAGAGGTGTCCTTGAAAGATGGCAGTCAAATGGACTGGTGGACATTCATCCTCTATATTGTGCTTGAATGTAAACACGGAAGGGCTGGTGGCTTCAGGCGCAGAGAGAGGCGAGCTCACGCTCTGGGATGGGGGAGGCACTCTGGCAGGACAGCTCCAGCTTCCGAAGACAGACGACGTGACCTCCGTGGTGTTTTCTCCTTGCTGTCCCACCAGACTGTACACGTCCCATGGAGAAACTATCAGTTTGCTGGATGTCCGATCCCTCAAGGAGCCCATCGAACGCTTCCATGTGAATGAGGAGGAGATCAACTGCCTCTCGGTGAACGAGACTGACAATTTCTTGGCTGCGGCAGATGACTCAGGGACAATAAAGGTTATGGACCTGGAAAACAAGAAAGTCAGTCGGTCCTTGAGACACTCAAACATCTGCTCCTCTGTTGTTTTTCGACCTCAGAGGCCTCAAAGCCTTGTTTCCTGTGGACTGGACATGCAGGTGATTTGCATACAAGTAGATGGTTATTAGAGAAGCGAAACAGTAACTACCCACCTGTGTAGTGAGGCACCAACAGACTTTCACTAAGACTGAGGGTGTACAGCCTGCAGTCTCCAGAGAGTTCCTTAACTGTTCTAAAGTAGCTTTGGTGGAGAAACTGTCGAAAACTGTCGACTGTGAGAGTTGACTGAGGAGAAAACTATCATTTTCTACTCAGCAGTTCCTCTCCCTGTTTTTATCTTCCTCAATAAAATACTGAAGTGAGTGGAGTTGGGGGAAACTAGAATATGGTGCAAAGCACGCTCATGTTGGACTGAGCAAAACCAGGAGTTGTACCTAGCTATCAGTTATGGCTGCAGACAAAATTGAGATGATAGGAAAAGGCCAAATGCTTGAAGCAGGCAGGATGCTAGAAAGAACAGGTAGATACATATCTTTCCAAGTGGTATGTATCACTTGGATGTAAGGACAAGTCATTTTTGTAATTTATTCTTTGTTCTGATTAACCTCTTGGAAGCATTAAGTGTTCTTTGCCTTTTGTGCTTCTCTATCCTGAACAGGAGGAAACTTTGTCCTTTGCACACCACTTGTGGAAGCGTTCTGAGAAAAGCCATGCTAGGAGTTAATGGAGTCTTGAGTTACGTTGCCAAAGTTGGCCACCTAGAACAGATGTTTTTCAGTAATTTCTTTACAGTGGTTGAGATCTGACCACATTCCTGGTTTAACCCGAGATTAAAACTATCACTTCTACAAAGGTTTCTGTGGTTCTAGTGGTATTAGGGTGACGTTTGCTTTGACAGCATTGAGCAGTTTCGCCCTCTGTTCTTAAAACCAAAGTGCATCTAACGCCCATTAGAACAAGCACATGCTGATATTTAGTAAAAGTGGTGTATCTCCATATTAAAGCCATGGATCATATAAATTCAGTAAGTGTATATATCCAAATAGAAGCTGATTGATGGAAGTCTGCCAGGTTTAGACTTTGCCAAATTTTCAGGAATTTTCCAAATTCTTTTTTTTTTCCTTAGATTAACTAGAAGATGGATGTAGGATTTAAAATGAAGTACTGTGAGAAACTTCTTTTCAGAGGTACCGAAGTGACAGTCTGAGAGGAGTAAATGCTCAGCACCTTAGATGCTGCTTTAATTCAGGTCCCTAAAGTGCAGATTCACAAGCCTATGGCTGGATACTCTTTATCAGAATTGTAAGCATTTATATACCACCTCTGTGCGAGTAAACTGGTTATTTGTTGTGACCTTTTAGTTGTAGTATGGTTTGCTGTAGCTCAGCAAGTTGGTTTTTAGGTGAAAGTCAGTATCCCAAAATGGTAGTCATTAGTGTGTTTTTGTACAATGAAAAGAGCATTTTTCCACATCGAGGCTACCTTTAGGATACATAATTTCACAAAGAGAAGCTGAGCTGAAATACTCTGAAATGCTGTGCTGCAGCATGTCTTTGGACAAGTTACGAGCTCTGCAAGCACCAAAACATGTTTTGGGCTCACAGGTCAAATCCTCAGTGAAGCCGTAGCTGATGAGAACTGAAATTTAGGTTGCTGGAATCTTTTCAGAAGTTCCATGGAAGCAGGGAAAATGCCATGAGGACAGAAAATACTTAGTTTGCAGAAAGCTTGTTAGCACTTGATGAATTCATAAAGCTGTTGCGGACCTGTGTGTGATGAAACAGAGTATTTGCCTTAAGCACTACGACCCAGCCTCTCTGATTTATGCTGCTCTGCACAGTCACCATGGAAAGTTTTCCTTTTCATAGGTAGCCAAGTAGTTTTAATGTAGCAGCAACAGCAGTCACTAGAACAAAAAAGCAACAGGAAACAACATCTTTTGGATGTCTTAGTGTGATCTGGATTCCTGAAATGCAGAGCCAGTGTGACAACTCTTGTAGCCCAAATTTAAAGCCTGGTGTGCTTTCTACTGGAGATGACTAGCAGAGGAATATCTTTATCAATAACGAAGTAAAGCTGTCATTAAAAAAGGAAACAGCACACCAGTACTGCATCAGACTGACTTGTGCTTTTGTATCTGTTGGCCTTGAAAATGCTCTTCATCAATTCAGATACTACAGAAGTATTGTGAGAATTATTTTCAACTGGCACAATATAAATCTATAGCACTTGAATTGCTGTATGAGATTCATTTGAGGGCACAGTTACTGCTTCATGAGGGGCTTGAGGCTGGGGTGGCATTTTAAAAACCTCCCCCGATCATGTCAGGAAAAGCGTGCCCTACTTCGGTATGGTAATAGCACAAACCAGACCTGCTCGTTGGGTATAAAAAAAAAAATACATATGTGTCTGTTGAAAATTGAGGGCCTGAACTACTGTTTGCCTTTTTTTGTTGTTCCATTTTTCAAACGCATTAATGGAAGTGATTATTTTAGGACAAGTATGTAGCAGAGATGGAACTACAATTCAGAATGATAATGATCTCTATTTACTGCTAGCACTTCCGTGTCCCTCCTTTTAAATAATTGATAGGCAGTACATCATGATTGCTACTGCCGAGATGAATGCAAAAGCATTTAGAACAGCTTTTTCATCCATTTCAGGGTCTAAAGGGCTGAGTCACTGACTCCGCTGAGTAGGGAAATATGAGGGTTTGGAAAGCATGCCGAAAGATTTGCCATATTTATCATGGGAAGTTCGACCACTTCTCACAACACATCTTGCATCTCTTACACTCAGACATGGTCTTTGCTCTGCTAGAGCGAGAAACGTGGTTGTTTTTTTTTAACTCTTAGTGAAAGATCTGATTTTACTTAAAATCAGAAATGGACAAATTATTGATTCATACTTTTTTTTCCTAGGTTATGCTGTGGAACCTGCAGAAAGCTCACCCCTTGTGGACCACAAACCTGCAGGAGTGTGAAACGGAGGAAGATGGTCCACAGTCACCCGGCCAGTTCTTTAACCCGCCCCTTGCACATTCCCTGTCTGTTGCGTCGTGTGGCAACATCTTTGGCTGTGGAGCTCAGGATGGTAAAGTCAGAATATTCAGAGTCACCGGTGCCAAGTTTGAACGCGAGCTGGAGTTTCGGGGCCATAGCTTGGGAGTATCGCAGGTCCTCTTTATGCCAGAAGCGTACTGGTTGTTGACTGGAGGAAATGACGGGAAAGTCTTGCTCTGGGATGTCAGCAGTGATGTTGGAAAGCAGCAGAAAAGTCCAGCAAAATCTCTGCAGAAAAGGAAGGCCCATGCACCTGCTTCCACCAGAAAAGATGGAAAGCTCAACAAAGCGGCTTCAAATGAACATGCTAGAGTTTTGCCAAAGCTAACCATCGAGCACGGGGAGAAGGTGAACTGGATCTCGTGCGCAGAGATCAAAGGCTCCAAGAGAGTCTTAGTTGCTGATCAGAGCAGTTCTGTATCTGTGTATCCATTGCCAGAACCTTAGACATTGAGATGTTTAAAGAAAGCGGTGGGGGAAAACCACTTCTCCGAGCGTTTGAAATGAGCCCAGTTACCTCTGCTGACAGTGAACCGAACAGTGAAACCTGCTGTGTCCCTCGGAAGGGGAAGGGATTTGCTGTGTATTCATGCAGGTATTCATGATGTAACCGGCCTTGCCTTACCTTTTTCTGCGGCTGTTGGTCTTCACTGCAGCTGTTTCTTGCAGGGTTGTCAGTTTACTTCTTCAATTAAGTGAAACGGGTTTCAATATGTTTAGGGGTAATATTAGTTTGTGACTAAGCTGACATAATTAAGGTTGGAAGAAGAAAGCCACGCTAACGGGGATACCCACAATGCTAAATGAGGATGCTGAGCAGTAACAAAGATGTCGTGAGGTGAGCTCCTTGCATACTGAACTATTGCAGTGCTTTACATTAAACTGTGTCACAGTTAGCTTAAATTGGCCGAAGTGGAAATATATTTTTCCTTAGTTTGTCAGCAGCTGCATAAAAGACTAGAGAAGCATGAACTAACTAATGAGAAATCAATTTACTTTAACTGTCATTGCCAGTTGGATTTTTTTCACACTGCAGTAAGCAAAAGAGCAGGGGAAAATGTTAACATCAGTTTAACGGGTCAGCTGGTTTATGGTTTTTAGTTGCTTATCCCAGGGAAAAAGAACTATTACACTTGTCTTAATAAATGCTTTCTCTCTCACTGCTCCCTTGTGCCTTGTACTCACTCTATGATTTGCCAAACTTATGTGCTGTACAAAATTGTGTCAAGAAGTGTATTGCATACCCCATCACAGGGGGAATGGAGACTGCGAAGGGCACTGATCTTCCTTACCCAAATACTTCTGCTGTCTTCCCAAAGCTTTAGGAAACACCACAAGCAGAACTTGGCTTTCTGGAAACATCTCTTCATTTGCAAGGTAGGGGGAATGTGACTAAGTGGGAATGCTGCAACTCTTGACATGTTCAATTCGTGATGGATTTCCCATGGAATGGGCAAATAATTAAAAGAAAAAAAGCTTTTATTTTTTTCCCAGGCTTCCCTTGACCTTTCACAAACTGAATGCCTGGTGCTGGTTGAAGACCTCCTTCACTGATGTGGGATTTGGGCTGTCTTGTTTCCCCAGCTGTGCTGTTAGCAGACGCACATTATCTACCTGCCTTTTTGTTTTGTTTTGGTTTTAGTGAAAGAATTTCCAGCTCTTTTTTTGCCTACCCAGCTCCTGAAAATCATTAGCCAGTTGTTCTGGCTGTCCGTCCTTTATGGAAGAGATTCCAGCCATCATGGTTTAACTATTCTTCATCCTCAAAGCAGCTCCCTGCAACCAAGTACAACTCATTCTCATCCAAATCTGATTTTACCGTTGTGCCTTTTCAACAGAAAAAAAACAAAAGGCAAAAAAGCAATCAGCCTCTACAGCCTTTAACCCTAACCCACTAGGAGGCTTTGGCCCAAGAGATGAACTGGTGGGCACAACAGCAAAATGAAGCCAAAACACAGCAAAAAAGCAGAATAGCGTAGGTACCTTAGATGTCGCCTCTAAATTAATTTTCTGTATGAAGACAGGATCAGTGGGTCAGAGGAAGCAGTCTGGGTACATAGTAGGTCCATGAGCATGTGTCTGTGCATCTATGACCTATATTTGGATGTACGGTCTATAAAAAGCCTCGGCATAAACAACCTCCGTCCGGAGTCGGATCCCCTGTCCCTGTTCTTGCTGCCTGCTTCAGGATAGAGGATCAAGCCCGCTCCAGCTTTATTTCTTCTCTTTGCGTCCTCTAGGAAGATGGCTAAATCCAGCATCTCTCTGCGCGCCCTGAACGAGACGTTAAACAGGTCACTGAAGGGTTGTGCTAGCACTGCGCTAAGGGACAGGCAAGGACAAGGGGCAGAGGGGACCGGGCAGGGGAGAAGAGATGAGACTATATGTTAGTGCAACAAACCTGAGCTTCCTGGGATGTTTTAATGGCTAATAGAATGTAGATATACATTGTCTGTATACGGGAAGGGAGTGGTTCATGAACAGTCTTCTGTTTCTCTTTTACTCGTTGGGGAGGGAAGGGGGACAGAGCCACAAGCTGCACTGCTTGGGGAACGCCATTCTGGCCAGCCTGCAAACTGCTAGTCCTGGGCGTTTGCTGCAGGATTTGCACAACTGCTCCAGCAGCAAAGGCCTGTCGCTGCGGGAAGCATTGCTGGGAGAGTATGGGTAATGGAAAATTGGGGTTCGCACTCTGCTACAGTCCTGTCATAAATGGGAGGTTTGGGATGAACTTCTGAATTTGGGAAAATGTCTCAGAGTCTGGAGAGTTCAAAGATAGGAAGTGGTTATCATTAAATACCACCACCCCTCCCTGAGAACAGACCTTTCTTAGAAGTTTTATTTCTTGCTTTAGCAAGAAAATAACTGGCACAGAGGAATTGGGACATAGGTGACACTGACTCACCTTCCATTTTCAAAGCCTGTAGGCAGAAGAGGAAAACTCGACCGACAGGTTCGTTGGCTTCATGTAACAGAATCCAGCCCCCTGGCACCAGTCCTCTGCTCGGGTGCAGTGCGACAGCATGGTCAGTTGCTGGTAGACGGTGTCTGTCACCAGCTGGCAGACAACAGTTGGGGTCAAATGTAAGCTGTGAGCACAGCTCTTCAGAAAGAGCTAAAAAAGGGTCCAAAATTCTCCACAGTTAGAGACAGGTGAGCCAGTGTTGCCCCTCAGTGAACTCTCACAGATGGCTTTTCATATACTAACTTTAAAGATTCCGTGCCAATGGCATCGAGTGCCAGCTGACAGACTTGGTAAGACCCTGCTCCTCTGGTCAAGACACTAGCATTGTTCACCAACGGCTTTTATGACTCCAATTTACACAATGGTAACCACAAAAAAAGAAATCAGAGACCTCACCAGAGAGAAACAGAAACATGGGAACCACTCCTGGAAGAAAAAGTGAAAGTTACGTCTGTGGGAAACTGATGGAAGAAGTGCGCGTCTAACTGGTACCATGAAGTCAGTGTGCAGGAAGAGCTGTGGAGAAGTGTGGAGATCTGCATTGGCCTGGAAAATAAACTTGATGTGACGGGTAAAGTAGTGAAAAATGTAATTTTATGTAAATTCCCGACCAGCAGATAAAAGGTTACACATACAACCGTGCTTTCAGAAAAGTGGGAGACCTAGATCTCTTCTTGCCAATCTTCCAAGTACAGTTCTGTATGCTAACGAGAAGAACTTTAAAAGCCGTCTGGTAGCGAATGAGGATGTGGTTTGTGCATACACTAGACAGACATTAGAGGGCACCCACTCAACGGTAACTTCACTGACATTAAAGGAAAAAGTGTCTAGAGGTTGTGAATGAAATGAAAGCGGGAGGTTTAATCCATTCTCCCTGGTTTCGTTCAGAACTTGGATCACAAGACAGCAGCACTGATTACAATTTACAAAAAGCTGTAGAAGATTAGTTATGGAGGTCGGTGGTACCATGGTGTAAGGGAACATATTTTTAGAACCAAACTTAGCAAATGCTGATGTGGTTGCTGCAGATGCTTAAAAATACCCAAGAATCATTTACAGACAGGCAACATACCCCATACCAAAAAAGTGTTGGAAAGATAAAACTGGTCAAATTCTAAAGCATTGGACTAAAGACTGCTGAAAATCAGCTACAGCACTGACAGGAGCGCTAATGATGAGATCTTTGATAACTTTGTAGAGGAGAAAGCTGGCAAGAATGGGCCATTAGGAAGTTTATTTACCCTGATAAAAAGCTGCAATCAGGGAGCAACTCCCAGGCAAGTATCTCCCCCAGGACAGCCCGCATAACCCACCCAGCAAACCTTGAAGAAAATACTCCTTTTCTGACAGTTCCCCTCCCAGAGTGCTTGCACCGTGTGCTTCCTAGAACTTTTACTATCAGGGTTTCTGTGCTACCACACTGCATTGTTGTTCTCTGCATGTGCAGCTAGAGATGTGAAGTGGATCTGAAACCTATTCACAGCAGATATTGACCCTCCTCACCTCAGCTTATACACTTGCCCTCTCTGCACTAACAGACTCGATCCTGTTATGACATGTTATGTCTCTTCCAGTTCTTCTGAGCTATCTGCATTTCTACATCACACAAGCTCAATTTTCCATTTCCATTCTATGTCAGTCCTAAAATTCTCACAGCAAGCATGGACATATAAATACATTTGAATGTGCAACGTGAGGGACGATGGTGAGTTGAAACCCAACACCCCGTAACAACTACGCTCAGTTTCAAAATCTCTGCTGTGACACAGCAGGAGGCTCTGAGAAATAAAAATCTGGCTGAAGCAAGAGAAGTCCTACCAAAGTAAGATCAGGATGGAAGCAGCTTTCACAGGACTGCAAAGGAAGTCTCCTAGCCTCGGGAAACAAAATTGTTGGACAAGGATCTGCATAAGCTGACAGACAGACAAGGACTTAAGGCCAGGGAGACTTAGAAAAATATGCCACTCTTGATGCCTTTTTATTTTCTCCTCGTTCAGGACAGCTGCAGACAGTACCCAAAACAGGAGAAGAGGAAGGTAGGTAGAGAGGGAACTGCTGTTAGCTAAGTGACAGTGTTCTTGGTCCTTCTTTTAAAACATCAGGCTTTAAAATACCATGAAAGAAGGGAAAAGTGTTGGTAAATTATTTAATCTACTGTTTATACAATCTAAAGTTAACTTCTGTTTATTTGGAGAGTTTTGTTGTGGACTGGGGTTTTTTTTTTTTAGTGTCATCATCTGAAAGCTACTGTGTTTTTTGTCCTTATAAAAAAGTTCAGCCAAAAATAAATGAAATAGGGCCCCAACAAACAAGGTAAAAAAATTAATACAGGGATTAACACAGGCAGATCACAATTCAGAATCCAATTCCCTAAACATTAGAACAATGCAATAATAATAGTAACAGAAGCAGTGGAGCAAACTGGGGGTGAAGAAAGAGAGGCTAAAAAAAAAAAAATTAGGTTCTTGCCCATAATAAAATT